AAGCTCCAATAAAATAATTTATTAAAATTTTTTTTTAATGAAATAAGTGAAATACAGACCTAACATAGTCATTGGTAGTGTAAAAAATTAGACTCTGTATACACTGAGGACACATAGTGGGAATAGGAAATAAAAGTTTTAGTAGAAATAAACTCTCCAGGAGTAAACTTAATAAGCTAAGACTGCACTGATGAAAAGCAGGACTTAAGCAGTTTGAATTATTCTATGTATAAGACATCAGTTCTTAGCCTGAAGGACTGACTTTCCTAATGTGGTGGTGGTGTTAGCTGCTGTCCAGTTGATTCCAGCTCATAGCAACCCAGTGCACAACAGAATAAAACGTCCAGTTCCGACCCATTTTTCCAGTTGTTGTTAGGTTTGACCACATTACTGCAGCTTATGTGTCAATCCATCTTACTGAGGAACTTCCTCTCTTTCTTTGACCCTCTATTTAACCAAGCAGGATTCTTCTCCAGGGACTCATCTCCTGATAACATGCCCAACGCACGTGAGACAAAGTCTCACCCTCCACACTTGAATCTAAGGATCATTCTGGTTGGACTTCCTCTAAGACAAAGGCAGATTTGTTCATTCTGGGAGTTCATGTTATGTTCAGTAGTCTTCACCAACACTGTAATTGACAGGCAACAATTCTTTAATTTTCCTTACTCACTGTCAAGCTTTTGCATGCATATGAAGTAATTGGAAATGCTGCCTTTTCTTTTTTTAATGTTTAAGGAGGAATTTTGCAACAGATTTGCCCAGTCTATTGTGTTGTTTGATTTCTTGACTCTTGTTTCCATGAGTGTTCGTTGTTGATCCAAGTAAATGAAATCCTTGACAGTTTTAATCTTCTCTACATTTATTATGATGTTGATTAATTTCATACCCTTAGTTATTAGTTTCATTTTAGTGTACATTATTTAAGTTATGAAAATGCTTTCTCTTCAGCCCATTAAAAATAAACATTTTATGTTGTGGTATTTACGACAAACCTGTTACAGGTTTTCCTTAACCCTGACACTGCTTTCATTAGAGCTAAAAAATATCTTATAGTTGATTACTTATTGCTTATGTAAATTCAGAGGTTGCCGACTTTCTCTTGAAGCTATGTTTTGTGTGAGATGATCTCGTTTCATCTCTTGCGCTTCCCCAACTGAGCACTGTAAACCCTGGTCCTCTTTCCTCTTTTGAGTAAATCTCAGTCTGCCATTTATAGCCCTTTAGTGTAGGTTAAATATGCTGATATATAAAGATTAATTTATGCATTATTTTATTACACAATTTGTATGTGTTTGGTGGTATGGTAAGATATTAAAACCATAGCTTACAAAATGGCCAGAAGAGAAAAAGTTATTAACATGAGTGTATGAGGGGGTACCCCCCAAACAGGAATTTTTTACAAAACTATGTATTAATTTTTTTTACAAAACAACCTTATCACCTTCAAAGTACTCTCATTACACTTAATATATTGTCAAATCTGTGATTTCGTTCTTGGAAACATTTTTGAAACTCATCTGTTTGGATGGCTGACAGCACCTCCCTCGTTTTGTTTTTTTTCTTCATCTCTTCTAAGTCATCAAATTGCTGTCCTTTCGTGTCCCTGTTCATTTGTGGAAACAAAAAGAAGTCACATGGAGGTTAGGTGAGTTAGGCGAGTAAGGTGCATCGGGGAAGAGAGGCATGTTGTTTTTGCGAAAAACCGGTGCACTGAGATGGCGTGAGCAGGTGCATTGTCATCGTGGTAAAACCAGTCTCTTGTCTGCCACAAATCAGGCCTTTTTTTTTTTTAATCAGAACCTCTAAATAGAAAGCTAGATTAAAGCAGTCTGATCTGGTGGAGCAAACTCCAAATGCATTATCTCCCACACATCACATTGGGTTTTTTTTTGGTACCCCCTCGTACAGTAAAGAGGAATTGAAAAGGAGGTAATCATTATTGAGACGGTAATACACTTTGTTTTATACGCAGGCTTATTGATTATTTGTGCAGTTACTGATGTACACTGCACTATTGTTTTTTCCTACTTGTTAAACATTTTATGACTTTATTAACTCTTCATATTTATGAGAGAGAAGAAGATAATAAGGTCCTGTTTTAAATTTTTTCCCCCTTTTGCATTAGATCCATCTCTGTTGTGGAGACCAGTCACTTGGAAGCACTGAAATACCATTAACTGGCTTACTTAAGAAGGGCAGTACAGAAATCAATCACCACCCGGTCACAGTTGAGGGTGCTTTTACCCTTGACCCCCCAAATCGAGCCAAACAAAAGCTTGCACCTGTTCCTGTGGAGCTGGCCCCAACCGTGGGAGTGTCTGTAGCTCTACAGAGAGAAGGCATCGAGAGCCAGGCAAGTAGCGGCCCTCTTTCCCTCTCCCACCCTGCCTGCACAGCTTCTCCGTGTTGCTCGTGCGTACTCACGAAAGTTGAACTTCAGAAGAGTTGCCTAGCAAAAGTCAGTGTGTGTTTCTGTTAATGACTGCCCTAACATACAGGACTTCTTCATTTTGGAAAGGAGGCGCTCCTGTGGCGGAGTGGTTAACAGTTTAATCGCACCTTTCTGTTTGACATGACGTGAGTGAAGATAATACGGTTTCTGGTTCCTTCGTGCTTTATTGTCTTTGTACTCCATAGCTAGATTTTGTCAAGGGGGAGCTGTAGCAGTTGAAGCACTTAGCTGCGAGTCCAAAGGTCAGTGCTTTGAGCCCAGCAGCTGCTCTGTGGAAGACAGTCGGGGTATTGGCTTCCATCAAGACTGAGCCTTGGAAGCCCGGAGAACAGTTGCGCTCTGTCCTACTGGCCACACTGTCCTACTGAGTCAGAGTCTACATGGCATTCCTGGGTTGGGTTTGGTGGGTTTTCTGAAAAGGCCTCTTTGAAAAGTGCTGTGGCTTCAGCTGTTGCATTTTTATTAATGGTTATATTCAGAGTCCGGTTGACCTTTTGAGACCTTCTCCACATAGGAGAAACCATTTCCCCACACTTTCAATGATTGCACCAGAACAACTCTGGTGAAATGGGACATTTTTGGACCCAGTTACTGGGAATCTGTATTCATGGCATCTTTCTGATTTGCATGACTTAAAGTTTTTGGTTCATTAGTGCTTTAATGCTATACTCATACTCCGTAGCCAGTTTTTGTAACTGTGATGGGTAATTACAATTTTTGATTAGCTATTAATAAAAATATATTCCACCCCCTTTTCTGTCTCCTGAATAAACTTGAGTGCCCTATTTTTTCAAAGAACTGCTATTTATGTAGGTCGTGAATTAAATATATAAAAAAATGAAGTGAGATTTTAAAAGGTATAGGCATGTACTTTCACAGAGCAGTGGAACAAATGTGAGAAAGAAATGAATGCTAGACATCGGTTTTGTTTTTTAATAGAATAAATATACACTTCTATTATATTGTCCTGATAGGAAAGATCTTTCTAGGGACACAAATAACCGATTTATTTTCTAGAATATCCTTTTTTACCCATTAGGATACATTTTAGTACTTAACTCTGAATACCATGTATTCTTCCTGTTCATCTCCCTTTTTCTAGTCCTAGATGAGATAAAAAAAAATAGCAAATTATGAAGAAAAATAGACTAGGATTATCCAAACTGGAAAGCAAGCTTATATATATATATATTATATTAATATTAAATATATATTAAATATATATATATTTTTAAAAAGCAACATCAAGTTTTTTGCTTAATTATGAAGGAAAGTTCTTTGCAAATTATACTTTATTTTAAAATTGTTTTTAGTCTTTAATTGAGTTCAATACCCAGAAGGAATATGAGCCAGAGCATTCGAAGAAGAGAGCTTTAACCCCCATCAAGGAGAAGACACATACTGCCCCCAGATCACCCGACGTGCCCCCTGCGCAGCCTCACACCCAGTCACCGCCAGCCACCGAGGACGCCACCGAGAGTGAAGTGGAAAGCTTACAGTTTGACAAGGGTACAAAACCAAACCCAAAAGGTGAGGCTTTGCTCTTATACATCTGTCAGGGCCAGATTTGCAGCCATTACATGACAGAGCTTTCGTGAGTTCTGAGTAAAGATTGTGTTTTAAAGAACCATTAGTGTGTGGTGTTAGAAAAATTTTTGATTTAAAGTGCTTGTAATCTCCTGGACTTCATAATAGAATTTGCTTTTGAAAGGTAAGAGTCTTTTTCATTTAACTTCCACGCTAGAAATAGCATACTCAAAAGAAATTTAAGAGTGTTGCCTTTCAATGGATTTTCCCCCAGATATCTTGAATTCATTGGGAATTTAAGAGATAAGAGCTACTAGCTGCCTCTTAAAATGAAATCATTATCATTTTTGATCCTGATAGTAAGAGAGAATTCCTATTTAACCTGACTTATAAAAAATTCCATCCATTGCATTGGATTCTATAGATATATCCAGTAATTAGATCAGTGGTAGATTGGGAGTTAGAAGTCCTAGGTGTAAGTCTTACTTCTGCCACTGAGAAGCTATAGGACTTGGGCTGTTCTCTGAGCACCTCTGGTTCATAACATGAAAGACTTGGAAAAGATATTTGGATTTTCAAGTTTTAGTTTTTTTCTTAAGCTGTTTTCTACATGCCTAAAATAACCAAAGCTACTTTAAAAAAAATTCATGTTTGTATTTCAGTAAATCTCAAATATATCATTTGGATGCTAATTTATATGCTGTTCTCTCCCGAAAGCAAGTTAGTGCCCACCAGGCTGCAGTCATACATCCCTACATCAGTGCTGAAGGTTTTACAGTATGTGCTCAAAGTAAACAGACTTCTAGATTGGGAATTAAAGTCTAGGTTGTTCAGTTATCCAAAACTGTGTAATTTTGTAATGAATTATGTAACCAACTATGTAATGAGCATACTAATTATGTAATCAGTGAGGTAATTTTGACAAGTCATTCATTAAAAGATGCTTATCCTTCAATTTGTATGGTCATTAAACCAACTAGTCGAATTTCTTTTTGAAAGTAAATGAGATAACTTTAAATTATTTGACTAACTTGAGAGAAACTGTTAACAATTTTCCATTTTTTCAAACTTTTTTAAAGCTATGAATGCTGAATCTGCTCTGGCCCAGCCAGTGATTACATCTCATGCTTCAGAAACAACTTCAGGGCAGAAGATTGCTGTTCCAGCAACATCACACCACTTCTGCTTTTCCATAGACTTAAGGAGTATTCACGACTTGGAAGTTGGTTTTCCAATCAATTGTATATTAAGGTGTGATTTGATTATGTCTTAAGGTACTATTTTCTAAGCAGAAATGCCTTTCTTCTGTTTCACATTAAAAAAAAATCACCAATGAAGTTGAAACATTTGTTAAATCTGTGAAGTAATAGGGTATAGGACTGTATCCTAATGACCTTGAACTTAAAGGAGACTGGTACTGGTGATATAAGAGGTAAAGTAGTCTTGCTTGATCTGAATAATTATAGGTAGGTATTTAAAATTATTTGTCGGGGTTTTTTTTTGTGGTATCAAGTTGATTTCAACTCATCACAATCCAGTGTGACTGCAAAGAAGGCCCCACAAAATGTCTCCTGAGCTATACAGTTTGCAGGAGCAAATTATTTGCTCTTTCTTTTAGCTACAGGTAGGTTCCTAACACCTACGTTTCAATTAGCAACTGAGTGCTTAGCCATTGTGACACCAATGTCACAATGACACCAGAGTCATGTTTCATGGTCTCCTTGCTTCACCTCTGGCCTTGGCCTGGCTCCTTTGCTCTGCCCCATGGTCTCCATGCCACCGCCTGTTGCCTCTGGTCCCAGCATCCATCACTTCAGACAGAGGTCTCACGTGTGCCCCCTGGCAGCTCTCCTTCCTATGTGGTCCTGGGCTTTCTCTCTCTGTTCGTGCTTCTGAGATGGCTTGTTCTTCTATGGAGGTGTTTTTTGCCTTTCAGCAAGTCATATTTATCCCCAAGGATATAAAAGATGGTAACTTAGAAGAGATCTCACCTTAATTTTTTTGTTTTGTCTTGAATTTTTAAATGAAAGCAACATTGAAGTAATGGTTCTGAGCGACTAACAACAGTTAGTTCTTTATACACAGAACTAAAGCTGATAAGGAAACTCATGCATTCCATGAATCATTAAACATTTTAAGACAAAACATAAAAGTAACAGACCAAAACCAAAAAGCAAACTCACTGCCTCGAGCTGATTACCACAGGCATAGAGGTTAGAATTTACATCACAAAAGGGGTTACGGCCAGAATGGCCATATAAATGCAGTATATTTCCGCTGTTTAACTAGCTTTGCATAAATGGAACAGGTGTTTCCCATTAGATGCAGAGTTGTTGGCGTTCCTGTGATTAAAGTGACGAGATACTCCATCTTGGGCTGCCGTTTCCAGACGACTCAGCAGCTGCGCCGTGTTCCAGCTTTTTCATTCTGCTTTTTCAACCCTTCATCCCGATCTCTGTGCCCGAAAGCCTCCGAGATTTGGTGCCGATAGTGATGGATATCAAAAGACTAAGCAATGAGTTTGATCCTGAATTCACAGCATGCTTGACTTTCCAAATCAGCTTTACTGTTGTTAGTGGTTGAGCATCATTACTTCAATGCTGCTTTCTTTGAAAATTTAAGACAAAACACAAGTTTTTTACCTCACAAATACAGTTTTTCTCAAAGAGTTATGCAACAACTCTGCAAAACCGCTTTTAGAACTAGAATTATTGTTACTTATTCTCTGCTTTTAAGAGCCCTGGTGGCACTGCGGGTTAGACACTGGGCTGCTAACCAGCTGCTCAGCAGCAGAGATGACGTGGCGTGCTCGCATAAAGATGTACAGTCTTGGCAAGCCTACATAAGGTCATGATGAGTCAGCGTCGACTCAGTGGCAGTGGGTTTTAATTCTCTTTGAAGCCTTTTCTTTCTTCCCTGCCCTGTGATCTTTTTGCTGCTTTTTCTTGAAAATCTGATTGTAGGTAGGGTACTTACAATGTTGTCCAGAAGCATAGAAACACAGGGAAGAAATCTGATGTTAGATGCTGTCAGATGGAACCTTTATATAGCCGACCTGGAAAACCCAAATATTAGCATATGTTTCTCCTTATCACAATAAAGACATTTTCTTTAATTGCCACTAATCTTTACTACATTATACCAGTAATGGGCTCTGGTGGTGCTAGCTGGTAAGCACTGGACTATTATCACCATGTCGAAGGTTCAAATCCACCAGCTGCTCTGCAGGAGAACGACAAGGCTTTACTCCTGTCAAGATTTACAGCCTTGGAAACTATATATAGAGTTGCTATGTGCAGTGGGGTTAGTGGTGCCACATATTAAAGATATCTGGGCCATATAAACAACATAAAATCATTACGTAGGGGAAACTTAATAGTTCACTAGGCAAGGAAACGGGAAAAGACTTTTAAAAAGAGGTAAAAAAGTTAGTATCCACTTGACTATGCAGAATTCACTGGATGACAAAACTACTGTTGCTCTGTTTTATTTTAAGACCATTTTAGAAATACTGGCTATTTAACTTTCTCTCGGTTTGACCATTTTTTTGTAATCATGGCCTGCCCTGGTATGAAATTGTAGCTTCCCTCTACAGAATGGAATTCATGAAGCATTGCTGATATTTAAATAAGTCTAATCTGTTGATAGCCTTGTGTGCAATGTTTGCTATCCCCCACCCCCTTTTGATGTCAATAGATCCAATACTTCAAGGATAGGGGGTTGAAAATCTGCACGAACAAATGCTCTGAGATACTTGTGTCAATGGATGTGTAATGTTAATGTTGGTTCTTGTAGGAGAAGCAGTTTTTACCATTAATATTGAAATTATTAACTCAATAGTAATTTTTATGTATGAATAAGATAACAGGCTGAAATTTTAAGTGAACACTTTAAGATCTTTATAGTTGGCTTTAAAAGTTCAAAAAAAAGTCCAGCAGCGGTCAGGCATTCTTTGGTTTAATCTGGTGTGATTTTTATGAAGAAAGGAAGCCGTAACCTTATGTCACGCTTTGATTCACCACTAGTACATTTGCGTTGCCTTCATCTTTAACTGTCTTTTCAAAGACAGGTGACTCTGTTTGTATCATTTTGGAATTGACTAAGGGTTTTTTAGCCCAAAAAAGATTAGTACACTGTTTAAAGAGGAAACTAGGCTTAGAGATCAAATTCAGCAAGTACTTTACTCCCCAGCAATTTTATTCACAAGTAACTTAAATATCATATAATTCAGTAGTTCGATATTTCAATTATAGTACAGAGAATTGTACAATCACCACATCGATTTTAGAGCATTCCCCTGTCCCCATGGTGAAATCGCCTTTAAGATGATTCATGCAATCACAGCCCACTCTGGTGCTCCCTTTTACCTCCTATCTTCATTAGTTACTCTCGAAATCCCCTTCCCTCTAACTCACCCCCCGCCCCTGTATTCCCTATAATCCCTTGTATCCACAATTATCATTATACATTCACTCCTGTGCGTCACAACTGGGAGACCCAACAGAAAACAAAATCACGCTAAGGTGGTAAGGGTGAAACAAAATAGTACACAGACAAAAATAGTAACAATGCGTGAGAAGGAAAAGACCCCAACAATAATCAAAAAGCCAGGGAAGAAATTTGTCATGGAGCCTGTATGAGATAATTGGACACAGAACAAATTCAGGGCTTTCTTGTCCATAGATAGCCTGGTCAACTGGCCAAGTGTTGCGTTCCATCCCGCATAATCAAGATTACCCTGATCTCTGCCCGATAGTAGGGCTGTTCCAGACTCTTCCCTGGGGCTGGAGCAGCTCTGCCAGTGGCTCCGTCTGACCAGATACTCTGCACATGGGTTTTGGGCTCTCACTGTCCCCATAGCCCTGGACAAATTGGTGTTCATAGTTTTTGCTCTGATACTTTTCTCCTCACCATATGCGAGATTTGTGATTGTCGTCTTCGGATCACACAGTCAGCAAGTATTTATTGTAGGTCAGAGCCTTTGTTCCTGGAGTGCAAAGGTGAAACAATAGGCATGTGCTTCAGAGAGTCAGATAATCTTGGCTTGGTTTCCAACAAGTCAGGTCAGTTTTACTTTTATAGTTTTGCTTTATTAATTATAATTGCTTTGTTATTAATATTATTAATATAAAGAGTGAGATGAGAATGTGTCTTTCCAATCTGATATCATTGCATTCCTAATTGCAGAATTCTCCTTTTCTCTGAGGACCATTCAAAGATTATATCTGCAATTTTTCTTTATATAATTAAAGCAAATTGCACTGTATTTCTTGTTTAATATTTTTAGCCTACCAAATTTCGGATATTCCAAAAAGCTTCTGTCAGCACTGAAAATATTTGTATAATTGGAAAGTAGGTGCTACTAGTAAAATCCTACAGTTTTAAAATAGTTAAAGTATCTACTATTTTAAAAATTGAATTTGATCTGACCAAAAGATTGGTGGTTAGCACCCACTGGCCTTTCCAAGGGAGAACGGCATGGTAGTCTCCCGTACCGATTCCAGCTTCTGCTCTGTCTAGTGGGGTTCCTGAGTTGCAATAGACTGGCAGTGGGTTTGGTTTTTTCCGGTTTTGGTATTTGCCCGATATGTTCAGATTTTCCTGGTTTTTTAAATACAAGGCTATAAATAGCTGACAGAAACCATAGTAAGACTTTGTTTTTCCTACATTCTAGGTACTCATATCCATTCTTTGGAAGTGCAGCACCCATTATGACCAATCCTCCTGTAGAAGTACGAAAAAATATGGAAGTGTTTCTACCCCAGTCTTACTGTGCTTTTGATTTTGCAACTATGCCTCATCAGCTGCAAGATACCTTCTTAAGGTATGTATGTGTATACTGTGTTGATGAAATTAATTATTTTCTTGAATAGCAGCTCTTGAAATTTATGTATATTAAAAAGAGGAATTTTTACAGGTTTAAACCAAAACAGTTTATGCATTTGAGATCCAGAAACAAATTTGCTAGTAAAGTTGATGACCTTTCTTTTGCTATAGTTTTATGTGATTATAAAAGATCTTTTCAGATTTGCTTAACTTATCATTTGCCTGAATTTGAGTATTTGAACTTTGTAAAAAATAGAATTTATGAGTAATAATTCTGGTTTTATGTAATGAATATATAAAGGTAAATGACTAAGAACAAATATAATTGCTATTCCGATGAAAGATTGCGAGTCAATAAGCATTCATGCATGTGCTAGTTCCATCCATGCACTGGTGTATTTCAAACAAAACATATGTCTGCAATCAGTGGCTGGCTATGGACAAGTTCTGTCAGTAGTATACTTCTCCTAGTCTTGTTAAACTCAAAAAACCAAACTCACTGCCATCAAGTCAATTCTGACTCATGGAGACCCTATAGGAGAGAGTAGAACTGCCCCTGAGAGTTTCTGAGACTGTAATTCTTTATGGGAGTAGATAGCTCATCTTTTTCTTGTGGAGCATCTGGTGGTTTCCAACTGCTGACCTTGGGGCTAGCAGCCTTACATGTAACCCACTATGCTACCAGGCTCCTAGTCTCATTAGGGAGCCTTCCAAAAAGGTCCAATCTAAATAGAGGCTTCCAAGAGGATTTGCCCAAAGTGCCATAAATTGAAGAGCACTGTTCTTTTGGGAAGAATTAGGTGAAAGCACCGCCTTTAGAGTTCTCCCACAGAGAAAGTCATGGCTTTCTACTCCGGTATGGGTTGGTCTCCAAAGCCCACAGGAACAAGTCTCCCCTGTCCTGTAGGGTCACCATGAGTCCGAATTGACTCAACATCAGTGAGTTTTGGAGTGCAAATAGAGATGTCAAGAAATAATGGCCTCAGATTTTGCTATTTTTTCTTTAATAAAGATTTTTCTGATTTGTAGCAATACTTTTTTATTTCCCCTGTTATTTGTGTTTTCTCTTTTACTCATCTGCACACTGGAAGTTTTAAAGTTTTAATCTAATTTTCTGACACGTGTTTGGGAATAAAAATGAAATGTATGAAATTTTCCCCAGTATCACAATTCAAATTTTTATATTATTTTTAAAGGAAGTGATGGTGTAGCCGGTTACAGGTTTAGCTACAAACAGCAAGGTCAGCAGTTCAAGCTTACCAGCTACTCCTCGAGAGAAAGCTGAGACTTTCTGCTCCTGTAATGGTCTACATCCTCAAAAACCCAAAGGGGCAGTTTGCTCTTATCCTGTAGGGTCACGATGAGTCAGGATCGCCACTATGACAGTAGGCTGGGTCACATTTACATAGTGAATGATTATGACAAGTGATTTATCCTCTTAGGAGAATCAGTATTTGAAAGTTTTCCTTTGTTGACTGAGAAGAGGTCTAGAAAATACAGTTACCTGTGTAATTGAGTCTTAATAATTGTGTGTTAGATGACCTTCCTTGCTGTTAACAAAGCCATGTTTGACTGCATTAAGATTATTCAACGATGTCACTTCAGGACAGAACTGAGTTCAGACTTGATAGTTCTAACTGCGTGTTTCTCTCTCCCTTAGGATTCCACTGCTGGTTGAGTTATGGCACAAGGATAAAATGAGTAAAGATTTACTTTTGGGGATTGCAAGAATCCAGCTTTCTAACATCTTATCCTCAGAAAAAACCCGCTTTTTAGGTGCTAATGGTGAACAGTGCTGGCGACAGACTTACAGTGAAAGTGTGCCTGTTATAGCCGCACAAGGGTAATTCAGTTTGCTTTGCTTTTTATTCACCTAATGATTCTGCTTAGCTGACCACAGCCATAAGTTGTCCTTTTGTCTTTTGCCTAATACTCTTCTATGACTACTGGTGTTACATCTGAGTTTGCTCTCTAGTGTTCTAATGCTCAGTTTATCTAGTGTTTCCTTTTACTTTGTTCCTCTAAGATCTGAGATTAGGAGAAAAAAACCTAAAAGTTGGTTAGATACTAGTTCCGTTGTTTTGGGAACTTCATATTTTGATTTACACAAAATTTTTTTCCCCTCAGATTTTATTTGCTCTTAATATTTTTGGCTTGTTTTTGTTATTTAGTGGTCAATATTGTATGTGCTTAATGGTATAGAGCTTTTATGTTAGAAGTAACATATAACTCTCCTAAGAATTATCATGAGACAATGTCCATATCTAGTAAAAGAATCATATACAAATATATCCATTCCAGCAAATTAAAAAATGTAGGCCAACCTATAGAATCAAGGGTAGAAGAATTATTATGTTTGTTGTTAAGCACCATCAAGTCAGTTCTGACTAATTGCAGCCCTTTGAAGCTTGGTCCTCTGCCATCCTCACTCTTGTTGCTGTGTTTGAACCTTGTCCTGCAGCCACTGTGTCATTTCATCTTGTGGAAGGGCTTCCTTTTTGAAGCAGAAGCCTACTTTACTAAGCTTGATGCTCTCCAGGGATTAGGCCTTCCTTCCTGACACAGTGTCCAAAGTAAGTAAGATGAAGTCAGGCCAGTCTTGGTTTAAGGAGCGCTCTGGTTGTATTTCTTCCAAGATAGATTTTTTTGTTTCTAGCAGACCAGAGTACTTTCATTATTCTTCATCAGCTCCATCATAAAAATGTATCAATTTTCTGGTCTTTCTCATTAATTGTCCAGTTTGCTGCATATGAGGCAATTGAAAATGCAGTGGCAAAAAAAAAAAGAAACAAAGAAAATGCAGTGGCTTGGATCAGGTACACTGTAGTTTGCAAAGTGACATTTGAGCTTTATAATATTCAGAGGTCTTTTGTAGTAGTTTTGTCCATGTAATATGTCACTTGATTTGGGGGTGGAGGGGGGGCGGAGGGAGGCTTGGGATTTTGTAGTTTACAGTTTTCTATCCAGTAATTCTTGCCCATTGAAATCCCCACAATGTAGAAGCAATCATTCCACTTCCTGAGTATCCCTTTGCCATTGGCTTTTAACTTATCCCTTGCTGCCCCTAAACTTTGTGTCTGGGCTGGTGCTGCCTTCTTGGTCTCCTATGGTTGATTCTTTTAAGGAGAGCATATCTTTTGGTGTTATTTTTTAACCTTGGAGACCTATGTTGTTTGGCTAAAAGTTGAACCACAGTGATGAGTTCAGTTCCAGGGTTTAAGATTGACGAAAGACCCTAGTCTCCGGGTTTCCACCAATCTCTTTCCAGCCAGTACACCTGGTCTTTATGATTTTGTTTTGTTCCATACTTTTCTCCTACTTCATACAAGACCTTCGCACGTGATCCCTTTCAGGGCAGTTAGTGGTAGCCAGGCACCATCTAGTTCTTCTTGTCTAAGTCATTTGATTTCTTGGGTGCTGCCTTTTTGTGTCCTGATTATTGATCCAAGGAAAATGAAATCCTTGACAATTTCAACTTTCATTTCTTATGATGTTATTTATTGGTCCATTTTAAAAGATTGTTGTTTTCTTTATGTTGCTTTGTAACATACACCAAAGTCTATAACCTTTCTTCCTCAGTAAGTGCTTCAGTCCCCTTTGTTTTCAGCAAGCAGGGTTGTTTCATCTGCACATCCAAGGTTGTTATTGAGTCTTCCTCTAAGCCTGATGGAAACAGGCTTAGTTTACTTAGCCTAATTTCTCAGATTATTGGCTCAATGTACAGATTGATAATAATGATGAAAGGATACAATTCTGATGTAATTTTAAACCACAAAATACCTTGTTCTTTTTAAACAACTGCCTTTTGGTCTGTGTACATGTTTTACATAAGCCCAATTAACTGTTCTGGAATTCCATTCTTCTTAGTGTTATCCATAATTGGTTATAATCCACACAGTCAAATGTCTTTGAATAGTTCAATAAGACATGTATTGTCTGCTACTCTCTGCTTCAGCCAAGATCTAGCTGACATCAGTTATGATACCCCTAATTCCACATCCTCTTCTGAGTTCAGTTGGAATTTTTATCTTTTAACATAAGAAACTGCTTCTAATATTAGTAAGAAGGAAGGTGAAATGGCGTTATCTTAAAATGTGGGTGTATTCTCACTGCCATTCAGTTGATTCCAACTCATAGTGACCCTGCAGGACAGAGTAGAATCACCTCTGTAGGCTTCGAAGACCGTAACTTCTGTTTGGAGGTCCTAGCAGGGGAGTGCAGCTATTCATATACCCTTGACTGAAGGATGGTCCTCCTTCTATTGGGGAAGGTCTTCCTCTTCAACCAAGTGCGCAGTTTCGGGAGGGACGCACAAGGGTACACCCGCCTAGCCACCCAGATCAGCCGAATCAACCCTGGCGATCAATGGGGTGACAGATGTCGCAGCCAGATCGCCCTTACATCCTACGACTGTAACTTTTTATGAATGTAAAAAGCCTCATCTTTCTCTCACAGAGTGACTGGAAGTTTCAAACTGCTAACCTTGCATTTAGCAGCCCAGTTTATAATCCATTATACCACCTGGGCTCCGTGTGTGTGTGTGTGTGTGTGTGTGTGTGTGTGTGTATAAAACAAAAATGTTAGCAGTGATGACCTATGGGAGTGAGATATTTTAAGTACAAGCAATGCATTGGGGAACTAATATGTAAAAAATATTTCCATTGATTTTTAAAATTTCATTTTTAGGTCAAGTAACAAAATAGTAGAAATTTCTTACACGGTGACTCTAGAAGATTATGGACTAGTAAAAATGCGTGAGGTGTTTGTCTCTGAGTCATCTCAAGTAAGTATAATCAGCTATTACTAACTTCTTTTAATGGAGTTCTAATGTGTGTGTATGAGAATGCCTATTTAATGATGCTTACTTACTCCTGTCTTAGGGTTTCTCTGCTGTGCCCCAGAAGCCATCTTCTGTGCCTCCAGCACTTTGTCCTGCAGAAATCCAGACAGAGCCTCGTGAAACCTTAGAATACAAAGCAGCACTTGAACTAGAAATGTGGAAAGAAATGCAAGAAGATATTTTTGAAAATCAGGTTACTTTTTAAATGTTACTGAAAATTTTTTTCCAGAGCAGACTTTAATTCTTTGTTCCATGGCTACATGATCTAGTGCATTGAATGTTAAGAATGCCTTATTCTGAAAAATTATGAACACAACAAAAAATTAAAATTCAACAACTTGGCAGAGGCCATGTAGAAGGATCCCCTCAAATTTTGTCCATGATTCTTGAGCAGAATCCAGAGGTTATGGACTTGATTTCTTCCTCTCTTTAAAAGGATGCTGCTGTTGAAGCTGTGCAGTGTCCCCATGTACAGTTTAGTGGTTTGATTACATCCTTGGGGTTGTGTAACCAGTCACACCCTTTTCCCCATAAAGATAAACTCACTATCCCTGTTAACCTTTTGAGTTGCTGTCATCACTTTGATCCCATTTAGCTAATTCTTAAGGGAGTATAATACTCAAGGTTGCTGTTTTTCACTAGGTAAACTGAACTATTGTTTGCATCTAAGATGACTTCAGGAGATACTTTTGGTTGATAGTTTAAATATTATCTCAAGGAAATAGTTTTACTGGTTCACCCATGCTCCATCACTGCAAAGAATTTAGAGTCTGTGGGAATTAGAAATTCTGCTCTGTATTTATCCCCTTTTGTTCATAATTCTTTTGTGAAATGTTCATTCAAAAGTTCAGTCATGGTAGCTGGGCACCGTCCAGTTCATCTGATCTCATGGCAGGAGGCAATTAGTTACACATTTTATATCTTCCTTCTGTTCCTGACTTTCCTTCTGTTGATTCAGCAGATAGAGACCAGTTCTTTTGCCTTAGGTGGCCCTTGAAAGCTAATAATGTTCCCAGGCACTCCACATTGAACTGGGTACAACAGAAGCACTACCTGCATTATTAGACCATTTAGGTGGGATGCTCCATGAAACTTTGATCCTACACCTCCAAACCAAGAAACCAATCTCATGAGATGTGTGCATGTGTATAAACTGCCATAACAGTTCTGTTTTGTTTAGCTGTTTTCTCATTGCTGTAAATATATCTACCATACATTGCCAACTAAAATAAAAAAAAATCACTTTATTGGGGGGGGGTGTCTTACAGTTCTTATCACAATCCATATATACATCCATTGTGTCAAGCACATTTGTTATGTTGCCATCATCATTTTCAAAATATTTTCTTTCTATTTGAGCCCTTGGTATTAGCTCATTTTCCTTCCTTCCCCACCCTCCCTTCTCGTGAACCCTTGATAATTTATAAATTATTATTTTCTTCATGTCTTACACCAACCACTGTCTCCCTTCACCCACCCTCTGTTGTTTGTCCCCCTGGGTGGTGGTGGTGGTGTGAGTGTGTGTGTGTGTGTGTGTGTGTGTGTATCATGTTGATCATTGTGATCAGTTGCCCCTTTCTCCCCTCAACTTTCCCCTACCTTTATTGTATTGTTACTCTCATCAATGGTTGTGAGGGGCTTATCTCTCCTGGATTCCCTGTGTTTCCAGCTTTTATCTATACCTGTGTAGCCAAATTTGTAAGGTAGAATTGGGGTAATGATAGTGTGGGGGATGAAGCATTAAATAACTAGACGAAAGTTATATGTTTCATCGGTGCTATACTGAACCCTGACTGGCTTGTATCTTCCTTTTGTCACTTCTGTGAGAGGAGGTCCATTTGCCTACAGATGGACTTTGGGTTTCCACTCAACCCTCCCCCTCATTCACATCGCTGTGATTTTTTGTTCTGGGTCTTTGGTGCCTGATACCTGATCCCATTGACTCCTCATGATCACACGGGTTGGTGTGCTTCCATATGGATTTTGTTGCTTCTCAGCTTGATGGCCGCTTGTTTATCTTCCAGCCTTTAAGACCCCAGACAGTATGTCTTTTGATAGCTGGGCACCATCAGCTTTCTTCACTACATTTACTTATATACCCTTATGCACCCATTTTGTCTTCACCGATCATGTCAAGGAAGGTGAACATCACAGACGCCCGGGTTATTAGAACAAAGTGTTCTTGCCTTGGGGGAGTACTTGAGTAGAGGCCCCATGTCTGTCTGATACCTTAATACTTAATATATAATTATATATGCATAGATCTACTGCCCTGTCATTATATATGAATATATTTACATATGTACATGCCCATATTTAGACCTCTATTCCTTTCCCTCACTTCTCCCACTTCTCCCTCTCCTGTGTCCCCCCAGAATCATCAGTCTAATTGCTTTCCTCTCTGATTGTTTATCCCACCTATCTTTTCTAGATAGACATGCAAAAACAATGATATAGAAAAAACAAAACAAAGTAAACAACAACAACAACAAAGAAAAGCCTATAAATAGTTCCAGGTCCGTTTGTTGACCTTTATGAGTATTTTCCTGTTGAGTATGATGGGGTGCTATGCCCTGCCCTGAAGTTTATTTTTGGGATTCCTTGGGAACTTCATTGCTTTGCTCCCCTTGCTGCTCTATTGCACACTTTTGGTGTTTTGCCCCTGTGGGGTCTGGTCAGATAAGGCATAATTCCCATACTGTATCTCCAGAGTTGTCCCCCATAGTACTCTGGGTCAGTGAGGGATGTCGTGTCTCGTGGTAGGGCCTCCCCTATGGTCCTCTCTGTACATTGGCAGCCCTGAGCAGGAATAGTGTCCTTGGGGCTTATGGGCCAGGATGTGTTCTACTCTCTTTCTCCTTTCATCTTCGTTTGCTCCTGTGTGCTCTGATCAGACATGTCCTTCTCCCTGAGCTGTAGCTTCATTGCTGTCCTCTGTAGTGCATTCTTTTGGGGGTGGGGTGGGAAGTCCACGTAGCGAGGATGGGGCTGGCCATCAGAGCTCTATTGGTTCTCTGCTTCATGCCGGTATGTTGCATTCACATCTTCGTGCACCAGATTGAGGTCTGGTCCCTCTCTCCCTCTCTGTGGAGATATAAACAATACCCTACTCTTGGGTGGCTTAGTCCCCTGTTTCCCCAGTACCCATTTTTGTTATTGTTGTTTTCTTTCTTTTCCCTTCCTTCTTCGTTGGCTGCCATATGTATGCCTGGATTGGGTCTGGCCCCTGTCATAGTACCTGGACTTCTCCCCAGAAATGTATGCATATAGAAGCTTCTCCCCTCTCCTCCTTTTGAATTTTTAAGCTTCCCTCAGTGGGCTCATGTACTAGTCCTTGTGTGCTTGGGTTACTTCACATAGCATAATTTCCTCCAGTTCTTCCCATGTGGTGATGTGCTTCAGGCTATCATCACTGCTTTTTAGGGATGTGTAGCATTCCATTGTATGTATGTACCACAGTTTGTTTTTTTAAATTTAAATTTTATTTTATTTTCTCACAGTTTTTTAATCCATTGGCCCGTTGATGGAAATTTAGTTTTTTCCCCAACTCCTTGTGATTGTGAACTGTGCTGTGGTGAACATTGGAGCACAGATGTCTGACCATGGTTTGTATATGCCCAGTAGTGGGATTGCTGAGTCGTATGGTAGCTCGATTTCCATCTGTTTTAGATATCGCCAAATCAATTTCCATAATGACTATACATACCTACTGGTCCACAAGCAGTGGATGAGAGTTCTTATCTCCCCACAACCCCTCCAACACTTGTTGCTTTCTGATTTTTTGAATTGGGCTATCTTTGAGGGTGTTAAGT